CAAGTAAGAGTGACATTGCACTTCTAGGAGTCTTTGCTCAAAATTTTCAAAAACCGAACCTAGTTCCTGTGACTCAGGTTAGTAGTCTTTCCGATACTTATATGCCTTTTTAAGCTGCTGAAGTGTCATGTCATTAATTTATTTCTGCCTTTCTACTGCCTCTCCTCCTACCTTTTGAAATCCAAAATGTTAAACCTTTTCTGAACTGACCCATTACCCCAAAAAGGCACTTCTCTATATTACACCCAAATAAAACCTATTCTTTTCTTCAAAACCAAAATCAACCCTGTCTCAAAATAATCCTTCTTTCCAAATATGCCAGAAGTGAACCCAACTCTCTCATTTTCCAAAAATCTAACTCCATCAGAATCAAAATCCCAAGAAGTCTTTGGTAGATTTTGATGGAAGTGTAACTGAAAGGGAACAAGGTAGATCTAATATTCTAGAGCGTGAGGCTGAAGTTGCGGTTGGATTCGTAGAAATGTTGAAGAATGGAGAAATTGGTGAATGTGAGGACTGAATGAGGGACCTGATCCCTAAAGTCCTTCTCATGAAGTTAATTTTAATGACGATCTTTTTCTCCTTGAGTTATGTGTATAAACGAACTTTTGATCAGTAAAAAGGATTGATGAAAAGTAGGCTGATTGATGGTGAAGTGGTGTGAGCTCCTGATGTGATTGTGGAAGAGAGAATGAAATGAAATCTTTCCTGTGAGAAAGAATTTAAAACAAAAGGGGGGGGGGGGTTGGCTGAGAAAGATGCAGCAGATGATAAGGGTAAACAGATTGAGAAGAAGAAAAGGGAGACATGGCTGCTCAGGGATAGAAAGGGTAGTGTAAGTAAGGAACCTGGTTCCTTACAGAACCAAAAGGTTGAGCCATTTGGTTTGGAAGGAGAAGCCTTTGAAGTCTCAAAGAGTGCTGTCAGGCAGAGTGATGAGTTCTAGAATCACCTCGTTGTTCCTCCAAGTCCCAATGTTTTTGAAGAAGAAGTAACAGACTTCTATGTTTTATGTGATACTATGATGCTATATGTGCATGGGACTCCGTTTGTTATTGATGAGATGCAGCTTGGGAGAGTCTTGGTGATCTGATTGATGGTTCAACCTACTCAGTAGGTTGGGAACCTAGTCCTCGTAGACCCTCGGCAGAATAGAATGCTAAGTTGAAAGGTGAGAATGAAAGATTGAGGAAACAGGTGGAGGAACTGAGAGAGCAGATGATCATTGATCAAAGAAGAGGAAATGAACGAATGGACAAGCTCATCAACGCCTTAGCCCCTTACTTTTCTTCCTGCCCAATGATCCACGTCCTTCACTCCTTCCAAATTCCCTTGAATTCTTACCTTCTTTTGATCCCTATATTTGATGGCATTGGTACTTCAATTGTTTAAATTGTCATATTATGTATTGTTGAAGCTACTGTGCTTTTATTATCATTACTTCACTATGGGCAATCACTCTATGTTGTGCACTGACATTCACTTGTTGTTCTTGTTATTGTTTATGCTGTGTTGCCCAAGTGGCTTAATGTTGCTGAACTTCTTTTTGATAGTACTTCCTCTGTTATTCTTTTCGATGATGCCAAAAGGGGAAAGTTATATAGGTGTCAACATGGGAGGAACAGAATCGAATGCTGTGCATGAAAGATGGATACATGGGAGGAACAGAATCGAATGCTGTGCATGAAAGATGGATCTGCTTCGCAGGGGGAACGTTGCTGATAATGAAGGGAAACATACGAGGAATCTGGTTCTATGGTTCTCAAGAGATAGCTCTGCTTCGCAGGGGGAACAGTGCTGATAATATGTTGATTATAGTCTGATCCGCAAGAAACATGTGAGGAATCTGGTTCTCAAGAGAAATATCAATTTTGGGTTTGTCATCATCAAAAAGGGGAAAAATGATAAGTTATGGTACTTTAAGTTTTGATGATTAGCCAAACAGTCTTGAAGAACGAGTTGTGATAAGCTCCTTAGGCTTGGTTCTCATGGGGAATATGGCTGATTCGTAGGGGGAACAATATGGAGATCTGGTTCTCAGGGGAATATCAATTCTAAGTTTGTCGTCATCAAAAGGAGAAATTGATAGGTTACAAGTACCTTGGGCACAAGTACTTTAATTTATGTTTTGATGATCTAACAAACTTACCATCCAGAACCTGATAAGGAACCTGTTACACATTTACAAGACCCTGAGATCACAAAGTTCCAGGTTGGGATCCAGCCCTTGGGAAAGCAAGGTGAATGCTATTGCTGAATCAAGGGACTTGCAGGAGCTGACCATAGAAGAGCTGGTTGGACATCTGAAGACCCACTAGATGAAGAGGAAGATAGATAGTGAAAGAAGAGAACCAAAGAAAGAAAAGAACTTGGTACTCAAAGCTGATAGCAATGACTCAAGTGAGGAAGAGTGGAAGGAACAACTGAGGGAACAGGTCCCTACCGGTTCTCGAGGAGACTGATGAAGTCAACTCTCCAGCATGAAAGTTGCTGCCTGCACACGCTATTGTACAGGAACAGTGCAGCAGTCAACTTTCTGTGAAAGGCTTTTTACCTACCTTGCTTACATCATTGTAAGTGATGTCACACACGTATAAATACCATCAAGGAAGGTAAAACAACTTACTTCATGAGAGAACAAGATAAAGGACCTGAAGCATGCCTGGTACAATCATTCAAGTTAATCAACTCAAGATAATCTGGGCAGTGTGCCTTCAGATTCACAAGAACCAGATTAGGGACCTGATACCTTTGTGTTCCCCTGTCAGAAGTATAAGTCAACAGTACAGTTGGAAAGCAACTACAGAAAGTGACTGCCTGCAACTATACCCGCAACAGTTCTGCAGACAATGCATCAGTCACTTCCCATTGAGAAGAGGCATGTACTAACCAAGATTTGACATCACTAAGGTGATGTCTTTTGTAATAAAAACCTGGTCCAAGACACAAGGAATCTCTCTCAAAACTTGCAAAATCTGAAACGAAAATATTCTCTCAAGTGCAAGAACAACCTCTCTCAAGAACAAAGCTGATTCAACCTCAAGGACCGGATCCAAGATTGAAGATGTCTTAAGTCCTTAGGTTTGTTGAGTATTTGTTATTTGTTCTTCAATTGTAACTCCTATCTTGCTTTCTTAGAAGCTGTTTTAGGAAACCCAAAATCACAAACCCTCCAAGTTTGTGTCTTGGCTAGAGTTAGTCGAGTTGTAAAGCCTTTGTAATGGAGTTATTACAAAGTGGCTTGTAATAGGGTTATTACAAGTTAGAGTGATTAAAGTCTTTGTCACTAGAGAGTGACAAAGTGGCTTGTGGTGAGAGTATCACAAGTTAGTCAAAATCTTTGTAACTAGAGACTCACAAAGTGGCTTGTGGTGAGAGTGTCACAAGTTAGTTGAGTTGAATCCTTTGTAATAGAGGTATTACAAAGTGGCTTGTAATAGGTGTTTACAAGTTAGTGAAGTTGAAAGCCTACAAGTGTAGGTCGGGGTTTTTGTCCCCTTGAGTTGGGATTTTTCCACGTAAAAATTCTCTGTGTTCTTTACTTACTGGCGAGCTACTGTAGTAACAATTAGAGAACCTGATTCCCTGTACTGACTGGTTGCACAGTCTGTTGCTTACAGTAGGAACTGCTAGAGAATCTGGTTCTCTATACAGTGGGAACTTATCCCGTGTCTTATCTACATACTGGTTCCGCAGTTAGCACTGTACGAAACTGATATAGGACCAGATTGCTATACAGTTCGGTTTCTCAGTATCTTCAGTGGAAACTCACAGAGAACCTGGTTCTCTATACAGTCTGGTGGACGCTTAGTTTCTAACAATATGCATGGACATTAGACTTTTACCTGAGACATACACCTGTTTCCTTTTGCCTGAAGTGTATGCATGAAAAGCTTTTTCTTTCCCTTGATGCAAAGAGGAAATGTTAATGCTTAGCTTGGCAAACAGGGATTATTTCAAGCTCACAACACGTGTAGCTGTTAGGCATATGTGGACTGTATGAAGCTTTACCCAGAACGCAAAACACGAATAGAGTTACATTCCATTTCATGGGATTCTTCTTATCTTTTGAGTGTATTTTCATATTGTATCGTTAATTAAGGCATATTCAATGATCAAGAAATAATAAATGATGATATGCCTCAGAGATGTCCTCGCCTTCTAAAACACTGGCGCAGTTGAGAACTGTATAATCAAGTTAATCAACATTTCAAATACTTCTCCGTAACTGATCTCAAGTTATAACTGTGTATTCTACATTTTCCCGTGGGAAGATCTAGAAGTCAATGAAGTTTTGGCTGTTCTGGTTACTGGAAGTGGTAGTTATGCGAGCGGTCTACTCTCTTGTATCCTCATGCATACTTGTCTGCGTGGTTTTCCATTACATGTGTGTGGATGTTAGTTATGCGAGAGGATGTGCATCAATCGTTTTGATCAGAATGGTACTAACCTTGTTGCTTGTATTTTTTGTGACGTGGAATGTTCCAGCATTAGCTTTTCTTATTATGGCTAGAATTTCATTACCGTTTGATATCTTTTCTTTTTTCTCTTTAGGGTTCAAAGGCATAGATTTACTTGATAGTAGTGTGCTTTCTCTAACAAGAAAAATCCTTAACTACCCTCTGTGAGAATCATCTTGTTGGTCATCCTAATTTGCAAATATCACGAAGTCGTCCTGTTTGGACAATATCTCTGTGAAGTTGGAAAACCCAGTATTTAAAGTTGAAGTTAATAAGGAGTACTTGGAAATTAAACTGTGTCTGGACATGAATTTCAGTTGGAAAAAAGTTGAAGTTTGTCAGTGAAAACCATTATTGCAGTTGAAATAGTCCTCAAACCAGTTTTTGAAACTTCAAATTCTCTATTTCAAACTGGAGTTGATATAATGGACAAAATAAAACATAAAATTGATTTGCAAATAATATTTTCATTGTTTTCATATAACATATTCCAAACGTCTTAGTGGTTATCTGACAAAACGTTTCCCCTTGGCTCTGTAGGTGTTTGCGGTTATTAAGAAACATCAATCGAGAGTATCGTGATCTTCAGAGCAAGTTGGAAAGCATTATGCAGGTACTATATTGTCATGTTTACATTTACTCTAAGTCGTTTGTGACTTTTCAACTGTGTCATTTGGTAATACCGGAGAATCCAGCTTCTTCATGAGCTGCCCCATAGATGTCTGGGCAAATGCTCAATAAGTGCTTTGAGCAACTACATTGACTTTCACTTACAAATACACCTATTCTATATCAGTCTTTCTAACAGGTATAAAAGTAAGGCCTTTCACGAATAATTCTAAAGCAGCTTAGTATGATTTTCTTAACTTACTTTGTCATTATTTAACCATCTATCAAATTTCTTCTGATACAATTGTCTGTCTCTGTTGTACCAGTTAGTCATCTTAACATTTTTCTTATATGGTTTTTTATATTTCATTGCTCTAATACTATAGTCCCTCTGTAGGGCAGTTAACTCATTATACTCCTGAAGATTATATTGTAGTCAGCTGACAGAAATAATGAACCTGAAATTATAACCTCTTGAGCTTGTCCTGATCAAAATTACATTTTAAAGTTGAACTAGAGGGTAAATCTACTTTTGTGCTGACCCGCTACATTTATCTTTTACTCCTAAGTTCTATGCTATGCAATGTTGACCTCAGAAAGATGTCATATATCTAGCTCTTGTACATTTCCTTCTAGATCCCACTCTAAGCCCCTAAGAACTTTATCAACTTTTCCTTTTTCCCTCTGTTCTTGATTTTGCCACCTAAAGGTCTTTCCTGCATTTAATCATGTGAACATAGCTAGAGGAAAGATAATTATAGAAGAGAGATAGAAACCTTAGTAGGATTATAAAAAACCTTTTTAGCATGCATGGGAGTTACCATGAATGCAGCAGCATGAGATACTAGATAAATTTCTATTCTGGTGGTGTTCCGTTCTCTGATTGCAGTAAAAGAGAGAGCCTGAAGTTACTAATTTTGCCTCTTAAATATGAGAGTATGCTTTTGTTCGTCAGGAAACCACTGCTTTTGCTAATCATGATAAATAAGAAATTTTGCTCGTATCTATTCCTCTTACTAAGACTAAACCATTCAATTTCAGAGGAGGTTTTATAGAGTAATCAACCTAATTTCTTCTTGCATTTTTGTTTTCAATTGTAATGCTAGTAGATGTTTGTGTAAATTGTCTAATAACATTCTTCTTTGCATGTAAATGAAGCTTGAGAAGGAAATTGTTTCTGCTGAGAGGTCAGAGTCATGATCGGTCACTGGTGATTCTCTCATCCTAACGGAGTAGAGGTAATATTCTGTAGTTTCCTTTTTGTTTTCTTGTGTACTGCTTTTTGCTTGGTCCTTTGACTATCATTTAACCTGGTGAAGCCCGGGACAACTCGAGTAGACTGATTAAAAGTTGGAGTTGTGAAAAGTTTGCAACTAGCAAGGTCCTTTGACATTGTTGATAGAGTATGTGAGCCTATATTTGATAGATGTGCATATAACATGTTATATATCAAATAGAACTGGATTTTAACTCCATCTGCTAATACATAAGAAATTGTCAATAGTATAGAGTTGAGATTGCCATATGCACATGCATGATATCAGCTGTCTGATAAGCAAAAAAATTGGATCAGTTACCCGCAACTAGGTCAAAGCTCTGATGTCTAATAATATACACTCTTTGGATTCTGTTTGTTTGTTGTGACGACTGGAAACCTCGAAATTTGATTTTTGAGGGTAAAATGGTAATTTGACCGAACCCGGAAGTTCGAGCCGTATTAATATATTTCCTAGTTTGTAAAATCTCTCGAGTAGAACTCTAGTTTGACTAAGTTAAATAAATGTGCTTTTTAATATATTTCCTCATACTTTGCTCGTTGTCCTATCTACATTTCTATTGCTGGTTACAGTTTTTGTCCTTTCCTTTTATTTTGTCAATAAAGGCTTCCAGATCTAAAGATGGGAAATCAAGGAAAGGCCGAATCATGGACATCGTTTCAGGAATCGATCTTATCGTTGGAGGGCCTGGTTAGGTTTCCAAATCTGAAGAACAAAGAATGTGGTTACAATTCTACTGCTAGAAAAACTATGAAAAATAACATTGTTTAAACTTTTTAAATTACCATATAGGTGCAACTGTTTTGTACTATAAGACAATTATAGTACCTTCATTTATTTTATCTTGTTTTATTTTACTGTGTTCTTTTATGGTTGAAAAGTCGAGCTGCTAAGCTAGATAGTAAGAGGGGTTTTACATATCTTTTTTTTAAGTGAGCTTTATTAATTTAAGGACTATTCGTTTTGTGAGGTATTCATGGAAAGCCTAAAAGGATGAACGATCACTCTTTCGCGATTAGCCTTGACCCTTTTCTTGAAAGCCAACCATCAAATTGTCTTGCAAATTATTTTTTGAAGTATAAATGCTGTCGAACTTCCAGATAAAGGAACTGTATTAGACAAGGATCAAATGAAGAGTAGATAGTTGTGTCCTCTTATTGGAGAATCAAGCACTTATTTATTTGTTCATATGTTTTACAGAAAAAACAAGAGTCAAAAAAGCATATTGTACTTTCGTTAATGCGGGAAGCGCGACTTAGCACAGACGCCCCGGTGAGGATGTGTGAGAGGTTGATATTGGAGGGCCTACGGAGAGGTAGAGGTAGGCCAAAGAAGAGGCGGGAGAGGTGATTAGGCAAACATGGCGCAACTTCAGCTGACCGAGGACATGACCCTTGATAGGAAGGTATGGAGGTCGAGGCACAAGGTAGTAGAGTAGGTAGTGTAGAGTGTTCATAACAGTAGTATTGGCACGCAGTCTCGCTTTCTGTTGGTAGTAGGTTTTTATGACTAACGTTATTTTCTTTCATTGTTGATCAACTTTCTGTCTTGTTGTTTTATTCTGCTTTTATATGGCTTTTTGGTACTGTCCATTCTTTCCTATATTTTCATTAATGTGGTACTTATACTATCCTGAGCCGAGAGTCTATTGAAAACAACCTCTCTATCCTCACAAGGTAGGGGTAAGGTCTGCGTACGCACTACCCTCCCCAAACCCCACGGTGTAGGATAATATTGGGTATGTTGTTGTTGTTGCTCTCTCTAATTTATAAAAGTTTATACTTGTATAACATATTGCTTTCATTCATAAGTGGTCTCTGTTATGAACCCGAATTCACAACACGAGGGAAATGATAGGTTTAATTCATAAGCTCAAAGAATCAATCATTACAATAACAGAAACTAGAACTAAGAAGGAGAGTCAGAGAAGAAGGATAGAGAGAGCCGGGGGAGAACGGAAAGAGATAGTCCAAAGGAAGAATCCAGAAGAACGGAGACGAGGGGAACAAAGTTCTCAACAATACGCATAATCCCAAAATCACTAACTTCTACTCTTTTAATAGAATAGTTCTTGGGCTCACCACTCAACCCGGATCCCAAATTAGTCCGACCATATTGCTTGTTCTTGGCCCAATAGCTCTTCTTAGCCCAATAGATGTGTGTGTGGGGAAACTTATACAAATGTCCCAAATAAGTCTCAACTTACCAACCTCTAGCCATTAGTCATAGACTTACCAACACTAGCCAAGCACATATAAAAATTGAAAAGCCAAATAAATAAGGTTCTTTCTTTCAAAGAATTACATGCAAAAATCTCCTCCATATTTTTAAGCGTGGTTAGCAACATTAAGATGCAAGATAGAAAGGAAATCTCATGGATGAGGTAGCAAATAAGGTGATGAAATACAAAAAAAAAGATAAATAAAATAAATTACAATATTCCAAAATCTAAGCAAAAAAGGAACTTTTTCAATGGGTATAGTTGGAATTCATTGAAAACATATAGATACGTCAATATACAAAATTTGAGGAAGATTGGAGGTGATTTGGATTGGTTTTGTATCAACATTCGTAGTTAAATCGAGTTCAAAGAATTCTTCTGGGACACATGTATCAAACATGTATCACGCATGTATTTCACACACAGGTATACATGTGATACACAATAAATATGATACATATGTGATACACAAATGATACACTGTGTGATAGACATATTATTTTTTTCCATGTGCAGTTTTTACTTCGAATTTTCAATTCAAAGCACCTCAAGACTCCACCAAATCCCAAAACTGAGATTCAAGCTCCTTAAGATGTACCCAATCTATTCTAATAACACCCACTCAAAAGAAAGCAAAAATTTGACCTTTTTTTTTTGCTACAATAGCTAATTGGCTAATATTAGTAATATTTTAAGAATTGGTCATTTTTGTAATGAACTATTTATATAAATGGACATAGCTGATAGTTTCCCATGCGTGTGTTAATATCCTTATTGGGCTGTGGCTGATTCATAACAATCTCCACCATAGAGTCCATGTCCGAAGAGAAAGTTATACAACAAGGGAATGGAAGAGCTTCTCAAATGAATGAAATGGAGACTAAATGCTTGTGCTTACAAGAAGCTTCTGTAATAAAATAAACGGAAAATGGTCAAATATATCCTGTACTATTAAAAATAGTTTAAACATATCTTTCGTTTTACTATCCGTTCAATTAAGACTTTACTGTTATACTATAAAATAAATATACCCCTAATTTAGACGGAATGACACGTGGCAAGCTCAGAATCAAATAACTCATCCCCAATTTTAGTACCCAATTCCAAGCTTAACCCACCCCTCACTGTTAACCGACCCAAACGAGAGAAAAAAAAGTCAAAGGGTTGAAGACTTACAGTTATGTGTGATTAAGGGGAATGAGGGAAGGGTTAGACTCGTTCAAAATCACCGTCGTCCTCGTCACCGGCGAACCCCTTCATTCTCCGCCAAATCTTTCATATATTATTACTGAGTATTTTTTTGTTCTTTCTTTCCTTTTTTTAATTTTAGTTTCTTTTCTTAATTCTTCAACCCATTTCTTACTGTTAACCTTCAAAATTTTATAGCACAACTCCAACCAAAACTTTGCTTCAGTTCACTAAAATAACTATAGAAATCTCAAAAAAGCTTATTCTCAAAAGATACAATTTTTTCATTTTTTTCTTATAAACACTTGAGTTCAAACAAGTATGAAAAGAAGAAACAACCTTCAAAGTTCTAATTCTTTTTTCAGTTTCCGCACTTCCAAATTTCTCCAGGTATAGCTTTCCAGAAATAGAAAATGCATTAAAATTTAAAAAAGGCGATAACAGAAAGAAATAGAGAAGAGAAAGTTTGTTCTGATTACTAGGACAAAGCACCGAACATGTGAATTGCAATCTTATGAAACTATTTGATTCTGTCTAAATTAGGGGTATATTTGTTTCATAGTATAACGGTAAGGTCTTAATTGGACGGATAGTAAAATGGAGGATATAATTTTTAATAGTACAGAGATATATTTGACCCTTTTCCGTAAAATAAAATTACACCAACTTGTCTATCAAATAGAGAAGTGTTATAAATAGAATTTTATTTATGGTGGATGTCTATATTTAGAGAGATTCTAGGGTTCATTGCTTGGTGGCTAAGTCACCCTCTCCCTATAAATAGAGGGTTCTATTCAATTGTAATTCATCCCAAAATCAATAACAATTCTCTCTCCCTACTTTTCTTTGCAATACTGTTCTTCTTCTCTTATTGTTTTATAACACGTTATCAGCACGAGACTCTAACCAATTGAGTAGAAGCTTTGGGATTGAGTATTATGATTGTCAATTGTTCCATGAACTTTCTTCATGATTAAATTCTGGATTTAAGGTAAGTATTTTACTTTATTTTTCTCTTTTAAATTCTTGAAATTCTATAATTTAATTTTATATACAAGCAAAGGAAATAAAGTTTGATTATAACTCTAATGGAGTTTGTAAGAAATTATAATCACCTGAAGTGGTAAAATTCTATGCCTTGCCATGATCAAATTCATGTATGATTGTAGGCAAAAAAAAGTGGAAACCCGTCCCATTGAATTTGCTGCATTCTCATTCCCTTAAGAGAATGTGATAGCAATATGTGATAAGTCTGAAAGAAGACAAAATTATTATCGTGAAGGTATCAATGGATGTGGACGTGGCAATAGACGAAATTATATTCGTCATCATTCTGATAATGAGATAAGGGTTCTCAAAATAATCCTTCACTTTGTGAAAGTAATATTTGTCATTGATTTGACATGAAATTTTATAAAGCACATATAGATGATTATGTCCATTCATGATGTGAATGTGACAACATCTGATTTATGAATACATAGTCATTCTTGGAAGAATATGAACATTCTAGTAGTAGTGAATATACCACACTCACCTCTAGAAGGAGGTTTGAGACGATATAAGAAAATAATGTCATTATTATGGCATGAGTGATCATTGGTCACATACCTAGTGTACGCCAAAATATTTTGGCAATGTGATTATTAAAGGACAACAATAATGCAAGAAACATATCTTGCATATAATTTTGACCATGACTATAATGGTATAACTTTCTCCTTAAAAGAGATATTCACCATATGGATGTTGATGAATGTATGATAGTACAAAATTAATTGAGAACTCTGCAAGAGCCAATTATACTATTTTGGAGAAACACAATTGATTACCAATAAGGTATTGTGTTGTAGTAAGTCTCAAAGTAACTTATTCAATTTCCAAAGTATAGCGAAAGCGGTTGGTTATATTGAGACTATAAATAAAAAAAGATTTAATATCTTCTATTACTACAATTTGTAGTAGGGTAATATGTATGTGAAAAGTTACCCGCTTTATTCTCCAGTTTGTACTACATGATAATAGGCTAGATTCATGTAATTTGGTGATTGTTTATGCCCTAGCTTGACTATGTTTCACTGTTATAGGATAGTTAAATGATGATAAATTGCCTCTAATCATGAATTTCATGTTTTGCAGGAACAAGTTGCGTGTATGAGGACTTAGAGCTGTGATTGAAGCTAAATTGAAGCAAGGGAAGCCCCTCGGAGCTGAGTACGTTGGAAAAAAAGAGAGAAAAAGAGCTGAAATGATGACCCAGACTAGCGCGCCCACTAGCGCGTCCACTAGCGCGACCGCGCTAGCCCAGGTGTTCGAGGCAGAATGTTATGCTATATGCGCGGTCATTAGCGCGCCTAGTAGCGCGACCGCGCTAGTCCAGTTCCGAAAAATAAAGTTCAAGGGTAAACTTGAAAGTTCGGGGGTAATTCCACTTAACCTATAAAAGGT